CCCTCACCTTAAGGAAGGAGACATTTACTTTGGCTCAGTTTCAGTCCATCATTGGTGGACTCCAAGATAGGACAGCACTGATGGTAGGCATAGAGGAGGAGAGCTGTGCATGACATAGTATCCAGGGAGCAGAGAGATTAGGGGAGGTATCAGAAGGGAGGAAAACTCTTCTGCATCCTGCACCCAGGTCACCCACATCCTCCCATCAGACCCCACCTCCAACAGTGAGTCATCTCTGGGCTCCCACTATCCAGTCCCCTACCCAGTGTTCCTCTTATGAAAGCAGGGGACTCTGAGGGACATTCACATATAAACATTAACGTGTGCTCATCCGTGTAAGTATTCTGTGCTGATATCATCTGCAGCCTTCACACTAGGACACTCAGGTCTTAAGTAGCCTTCTATCTACAGTTGTATTGGGATCTCTGAGGTAGTTCTTTAGCAATAAGAACAGAAGGATGCAAATGCATTCAGGGACCCAGGAGCCTTCTGAGGTAAGCTTTCTTGATTAAGAATATGGAGGAATTTCCTTATATATCATCCCTTATTTTTATAAGCTTTTTACAGATGAGACGAATTTGGAGAGGAAGGGTCAGTAGAAGACAGATAAACTGGCAGAGAGAAGAGTGGGATCATGGGGCAAATGAAGAGAATATTTCTTAATATATATACAGTGTTAATATGCAGTCATACTTAACAACCTCTTTATAAGTTGTCTTGGTTTTCATCACTGAGATAAAATACCTAACAGCCACAAGTTAAAAAAGGAGTGGTTTATTTTGGCTCATGGTTTTTAAAGGATTTAGACCATAGTCAACTAACTTCAAAGTAGAAGGATGGGGTGGAAGGGCCTGGAGGAGAATAGAGCTACTTACATCATTGCAATCAGGAAACAGGAAGAGGAAGGAGCTGGGGAGGGAGACGATTACTTTCAGGTCATGCCCCCAATGACCCATCTCTTCTGATCAGCCCATCAGCATATTTAACTGTGAACTCAAGACGGAAGAATCCACTGATGAACATAACAACCTAGGATCCAACCATTTTCTAAGAGCCCCACCTCTGAATATATGAAACTTATAGGGGAGATTCTAGATCTAAACCATCAGAGATGTTATGACACTCCTAAGCTGTTGGGAAGAACTCGCCTCCCATGGTAGAACATGAAAATTCCATAGGGGTACCTTCCAGCTTTTTAGTAGTTTTGCTTGTAATCCTGATATATGAGCCAAATTATGATAATTTCAGCCCATTAGGATTTTGCATGCCCTGCTAAGGATGCAAAAAATCAGACACCAGAGAAAACCATTTCAGTTAGGATGAGTACATTTGCCATCTACAGCTTTTCTAGGCTGGCAATGGTAGTGATCCCAGTAGCAACTGCCTAGCGTCCAGTGACTGAGTTTAGAATGTGAGTATACACACATGCTCCCTCTGGGAGAGGGCAGGATTGCTAAGCACACCAGTTCTGTGTTGTGATTTTGGCTATGGTTCCTGACTATTTACCAAAATCTGGCCTCCCACTATTTCAGAGAGCTGTTTAATAACCATTTGCATAAATTTGCCCTATTTAGCTCTGTGACTAGGAACTCTAATTAACACACTAAATAAATCATAATGTGCCTTTGGGACTGTTTACTTCTTTCTGAAATTACTGTCTGGCCTGATATTTCAGTAAGTCAATTTAACATCATATATAAATTCATCAAATACTTTTTTGATAGAAATTAAAGAAACGAGAGTAGGAGTTCTTTGAAGTGGAAGTCATAGGCCATAGCGTCGGCCCATTCTGATTTTTCAGATAGTGTTTCATGCTCATTTATTGTTTTCTAATAGTAAATTGATTAATGATATGACAATGAACTTTTTCTTCCCTTTTGAAAAATCCCTGTCTTTGATAGAAGCTTGTTAATCTCAGAAAGGAAGCAATTAATTTTTTAGAAGTGTTAAAGTAAAATGCAAATGAGAAGTGATCTTTTCAAGGGGCGTGCAATTTGGCATTGTGGGCAAAATAACACTTTCTATGGGAATTGCAGTGTTCAAGCTGAAGAGATAATAAAGGCAGTTTGAAATGTTGTCTGGAAAGGGAAAGAGCTCCAGGGAGAAAGGCCTGAGACTCAGAACATATAAACTGAACATTCAACTATTTTCCAGGGGAGGGAAAATGAAAACTTTTTTGAGAACAAAATAAAGACTTCTTCAGACTATTTCCTTCCGGAAGATATTGCAAAGCATTTGACATTCACAGACCTTTACGGATAATGTGAAATATTTTTTTCAGGTTACCAGCACATAAATATATTTCACACATTTACCAATGGAAATAGTTCAGTATCCTTGAGCTGGGACACATTTATTTGACAATATGTTAAATTTGTTTTAAAACATGTAAATTGAAAAAGCAGATTTACTTGTGCAGGTTTCACCAATAAAAAACAAAACCTAAAAACATGGAATGAATTGAATTTTTTTTATAACAACAAGAAATTTAAGAGGTTAATTCTCTTCAAGTAGTTTCAGAGTGTTACATTCTACATCAAGATGTTCCTAAGCAGGGGAAAAACAATAGTGTACTTTTCCAATCACCTTAAAAATCACTCTGACACTCTTGTGATGAAGAGGCTTAATGTGAAAATGTCCAGTACTCTCTAACTAGCCTGAAAACATCGGTAAGAATTGAGTGCTTTCCCCTATTTCTGCATTTGAAACTTTTGCTGCACAGATGAATTTTCTGGTACTGTGACTGACAGGTGCTTCCTCAGATGCATGGTTGGTCTGGATGGTGTTTGTCTCAGCGCCACAGAGGACACTTTTTTACATCTTTTTAGTATTGGCTGTGCGCATCACAATTCTTCATCACTTATATGATGATATCCTTGGTGTGTACATTGATCAGTATTTGCCTTTAAAAGCTTGTGAGCCATCATCTACAAGAACTGGAAAATGAGCTAACCAAATTTTGATATCCAGAATGATGTTGTTGTTTCTTAATTTATCCATATTGTCTTTGACTGAAATTTATTATCTTTTGGGTACTGGACATTGCATTAGGTGAGAAGAAATGATGACGGTGAATAAACAGATTGGACTTTTGAACTGATAGCTAGTGAGGCATACAATATTAAAAATCATACAAAAATTAACATAGGAATTGTAATAAATCTTGGGAAATTATATAAGGTAGGGAGAGACAACTGAACCCATATTCTGTGTGGCTGTTGCTTGCACAGGGGTACTTTGGTTCATGAAGTTAATTCTTTCCACTGTTCTCGTTCCAGAATTCGTTCCATGATTCTGTTTGCGTATGCTTGAAATTCATTTGGGACCAGAATCATGGAACAATTTCTGTGACTAAAATTGTGGAAAGAACTAAGTCTGTGAACTGAGGTGCCATTGCATTCCAGTCATCCAAATGACTGTCAAATATCCCTTTACTAAGAGATGGTTTAACCATTTTCATCTCTCAACAAACCCTACTATTAGCGCCCATAATATGGAGGCTAATTTGGTTCAAGTGATGAAGATGAGTTCTCTGAGGTGTAACTTCTGAGCTGAGAACAGAAGCATGAATTATCTGTGTTCAATAAATAGGAGAAAGAAGACTACTTCAGGTAGAGGCAAGGTTTTGTGTTAATGACACCAAGTTGTGGCACTACTTGCTGGTGTAGCTGGCTCTAATTTGCCACTGGAGATACACGGTTGGCTCATACTATACAGTGTTTGTGCACCTGAGCAAAACTGTCAAAATACAGCCCTTCAGTATAAATTTAAAGAGGAGACCTGGAAGATAGCACAAGCAAATAGAGAGCAATGTTAAGAAAACAACATTCACTATGTATTGGAGGCAACTTACTATGTAAAGGAAGGCACCTTATCCTGAGGATCAGGATGATTACATAAGATAACAAATGTGCTTATAGAACAGAAAAATATAACACAGAAACCAGTTTTTTCTGCCATAGAGAAAGATACAAATCTTTAAGTGGGCACAAAGTTCACCTTAGTTTGAGACACAAGCTTGACAAGTAGGTTTTCAAGACATGATTTTAGACAAGTTAGTGAGCAGGTATTCCTGTGGGATCCCTGGGCTTTGGAGGTGCGGTGTACACCCCATCTGAGTACTTAGTGCAAACAGCAGGCAGTGACAGGCTAGCTCTGATTCTCATTCACCGCCCATGAGGGCTGAGTCCGTGGGCATCAGGTCACCCACATGCAGTGGCTATGGGCAGATGCATCATCCTCTTTTGGCACTGATGATGCCTTGGGGAAGAGAATAGGAAAAACTACTAAAGTATCCTCAAAGAAATCCAGGTTAAGACAAGGAACTGTAGGCAAAGCAGTGTTTGGCTTTTTAAAACAATAATTTACAGTAGTCAAAATTGAAACTAAATTTAGTACAGCTATGGAAATTCAAGGAAGATGAAAATTTACATGAACATGTTGATGATTAAAAGAAGTCACATGCTGAAATAAAACCTTTGGAAGAGGGTTTTAGGAAAATAAATATGTGCAGGCCATAGAATGGAAGACCCAGAACTCAGGGAAAATAGTAATTATTCCCTACTGATGTGGAATCCATGGCAATAAAACATTAGCAGGACACTAGATCCACAAAGAATCCTGTGCTTCACATAGGAGGCAACTAATAAACACTAAGAGAATGGAGGAACACATGAGAGACGTTTTTAATGTGAAGTGGCATCAGTAATCATATGCAACCAATGATTCTTGTTGTTCAAGAAATACCTTAAATGTGCAAGAATAGTATAACCACCAATGAAACAAATGATTCCATAAAGTAGAAGTGACAGAAAGGAAGCAAAACTTCCTTCATGTGACTCCACAGATGTAATCATTCAGTACTAAATCACAATAGTGCTTGACTTGTGTTCATATACATAATAAGTTACACAAATATGCATAAGTGCACATATAAGAAATTGGATGGTAAAATGTATTTAATACTATAAATTACAGAACAAATATAAGCAAACCAGGGATGCAGATAAAGAAAAGTTTATTCCAATATAGACATAATAGATATTCCAAAAGAAAGTTAAATTAGCAAAAATGTATGAACTGTAGAATATTGAATACTGAAATGATCATAATAAACATTAATATCAAAAATGCAAAAGTATTACAGATCAGTATATAGATAATAATAGTTATAAAACACTCCAATAACTATTCTGCAGATCTGAAATTGATTCGGAGCACAATGTATAACTTAAAAATTTAATGTCATGACAAGTAATAATAAAAATAATCATCCAACAAGAATTTTAAAATAGTGTGAAAAGGTCTACATACAGAAACACAATGTGAAAATCAAAGCACTAATAAAAATAGAAACAAGTATTAAAAAGTGAAAATACACACAATTAAGAATTCAATGAGAAATTAACCATAGACATGAAGAATTTCATGCAAAATTTTCTATTTCAAATGCAAAATTTTCTTTAAAACAGAATAGCATGTTTGATTTTAGATTATAGTCTTTGAAATAACAAAGAAGCAAACATGCACATAAATAGTCCCACATATTATCACATGTGATTTATTTTAAGCACTCATGCTTTTAATGGTATTTAAGTCATTCTGGAAAACTTGATATAAATATGCAATTGTGTGTTTGTAATCAAGTTCATTGCAGAATTATTTTCAATAGGAAAATTGGGAACACTATAGTGGATGACCTTTGAAAAAGCATCAATGAAACAAAGTAAGATATATCTACATCCTGGGTGCAGTGAGTGATAGGAAGTTGAGGCATCGTTCCATGTGTGGCATAAAGCAAAGTTCCCCAGAGAAAGTGATACAGTGGTGCATGCATGAATTGGGTGTGGATAGATGGTAGAAGTTACCCCCATAGAGAAAGAATTAGGATAGGCATCTAAGTAACTGTAGCATGCGTAAGGTTGCATAGGCATAATCCACGTAAGGCTGATTAAAAGCCTTGTATATGGGTAGTTAGCCACATATGGGCAAAAGAATGGAAGGAGAAACTAGAAGATTTGGTTGGTAAAGGTAATATCTCATATCAACATTCATTTAGTCATGTATCACTTAACAAATAATTACTGTACAATTAGTAAAGCCTGGAGTGTGATATAGTTAAATTTACTTTTAAAATTACCTAGAGAAAGTATAGTTTCAGAACTTAACAACCATAGACCAAATATCATATATCCAATGCCAAGAATTATACTGTGTTGTAGGATGTTATATCAATTTATATAAACACTAAAATATGTATGTATGCATACATGTATTGCTAATTTTCGTTTTCAATTCCTAGAAAAAAACTAGTTAAATTATTAGCCAAGTGAGGCTCTTGGGAAATCATTCTTTGTTTCATTTTCTTGGTTATTTGATGTTTCTACTTGTCTTAGTTACTTTCTTGTTACTGAGATAAGATATTCAGTGCCCATAAATTAAAGGAGAGATTTATTTTAGCACACAGTTTGTGGAGGTTTCAGTCCACAGTTGGCTGCCTCCAAGGCAGGGTGGTATGGTGGAGGAGAAACAGTCCATGGCAGGGTAGGCAGAAAGCAAGGACCCAGACAGGTTACAGGCCTGTTAGTTGGTGCCACCCACACCAAGGATGGAGCTTCTCTCTTCAGTAATGCCTTTGCCCACAAATTTGCTAGATCAGTCAGTGAATTAAACCAGTATCACACCCATGATCCAGTATCACACACCAATGACCCAGTCACCCCCAAAAAGTCACCCCTCTGACCTCTTGAGGCTTTGGGGGGGATGTTGATAGAGGAAAAAATAACACTACTTCAACCTTAGGAATGATTCTTATCCATGTCCCCTGTTAATGTTATGGAATTTATCTTTTTCATTGAAAATTTAAAAATTGTTGTAAATAATCTACTGTTTCTGTGATTTTCTAAACATTCTCATTTCTTAGTCAGCCTTCATTATTTTTTCTGTAATTACTCACAGAGTACTTTGTAAAAGTTGAAGTCACGAAGGTCACACTGAAATGAGCTTCCTCCATAGAGATGGTAGGAAACAGAGGCAGATTTTAAGGTAAGGTATGCAGGGGAAGGGGGTATATACATCTGCAAAATGAGTGTAACGTATTAAAAAAGTACATTTCTCAAAATGCTCCACTGTGATAACATTGGCAGCAGCTTTACAAACTCCTCTACAGTTTTTCCAAATTTCCCTTGGTTAACAGCTCCTGAAGATTTACCATACTGCCTAGAATCAATCAACACATGTTTGTCTGCCAAAGAAAAATCCTCCACAATGCTCTACTCACTTGCATTTGCCAGTCCACATCTTCCTGTTACCCCCTGATGACTTGTTTTAAACTCAGGATCCAGGCAGCAGTAGGGAATAGAAATCAGAGCCACCCCAGAGACTTGCCAGGGAACCTCTTGTGAGAAAAGTTCTGTCTGTACTCATTGGTCACCCCTCATTCTCCAATAAAGAAACTAGATTCTATTTGCTCGTTCATTAATCTGTAACAACTATTTAATAAAGCTTGGTTATTTATCTGGTAATGAAACACAGACATGAATAAATGCAGGTGTTGCTGTAGGTGTCTTAAATAATTAAGCTAGTTAAGCAGATAGTGGCAATAACATATGATTTGTGGAATGAGTGGCCAGGTGGGAGGATCCTGCAATCCCAGCAATTCAATGAATTCTGTCTCAGGATTTAAAAAAAAATAAAATGATAATGAGGACTGGGGACACAGCCCAGGGTGAAGACCATATACAGTGTGGGAAGGAGAAGAGGAGAAGACTTTTTCTGGAGGATATCGTGTAAATTTTATCATGAACTAGAGTGGGAATTATCTAGAGGAAATGGTGTATGCCACCGAATGATACAGGGAGGAAGAGGTGTTTTCTCACTGGCATATACAGGTATTAGATGAGTTCATTTAACTTTTTTTAACTTAAGCATCTGAGTTTCTTAAAATCAATTCCTACATCTGGAGTAATTCAAGGTAATTTATACATGGTAACGTATAGTAGAAAAATGAGCATTTTGCCTTAGAAAGGTTTTCCTTTGGTTACATATTCAAAGAGCCATTCAAGTGATCATGTAATTTCCATCCTTAAGACAGTTTAGAAGTGACTCTGTAGGCTCACAGAAAAGAAGATGAAAGTAAATATTTATTGGCACAATTCATTTTCTCTTAAGATTTCAGTCGTGCTTTGGATCAAATAGAGCTAAAAGACTTCAAGGTTCCCAAGGCTAAATATCCTGAAGCTCTCACATAAATTCCAATGCTATCTTTCATATTAGAATATATTAAAAGTGTCTTTGGTGATCCATAGGAAATGATTTTATTCTTACGCATTCAATTTGAAATAAAATCTTCCTAGTACAACACAGACATTCATAATTCACTTAATGTTTGCTTTATGCATCTAAAAAGAAAATAAAAATTAATGCATGATAGTGAAAAGAGTATTTTCTTTTGAAGACCATTTATTTATTTATTAAAAAATTGTTGTAGTGCTAGATACTAAAAATGCAGGTGAATGAGACAGGTGTGATTCTTGTCTCTGTAGGATACATTCTTGTGAAGGAAATGAACAACAATAAATAAGCCATTAACAAATACAGGTTCTAATAAATGCTATGAAACAAGTAAATGGGATTATCTGATCGGGCATCACTTAGGGCTGCCATGTTAGGTAGGGAGTAAAGAAAATCTCCACACAACAAGTGATCTTTAATCGAAGGCTTGAATTTTGGCTGTGTGAGTCAGTTTACAGGTATGTAGATTGAAGATCATAACTACCATCTGATAGGGCTCTTGACAACATCAAATGATACCATCAATTACAGTGCCATGTACAGTGCTTTTGTTAAGTAAATAAATAATAAATGTTAGGATCAAAATAGTTGCTTATAGAATACACCCCACCCCCCTTGCCTCTTCTTTAGCAGAGGCTGAGCTTATGCAAGTACCTCCGTACTCTGAAAAACAGTATGGAATTTCAAATTCTCCTTCTTCCTAGAATATTAAGATACTGAAATCCAATTAAGAAATGCCCCAGTGCTTCTTTAAAAATTGCAACTTAACTTGTAACAGCTCATTGGAGTGCAGGAAGAGGGGGTACATGGGGTGACAGGGCTGGGCACAGGAGGCCAGGGGCAGGCACCCTGTGGCTCTTCTTCTTCCTCTCCATTTCACCCACTGCATCTTACCCATGCTGACCAGAGCTCTGGAGCTTACCTGCGGAAACAAATCTCCCAAAGGCAGGTGACAGCCACAGAGAGCACAGGAGCATATTTAACCCTGGGATTTCATGAAGTTTGGGCTTTCTTGAGTATGCTGAGGGTAAAAGTTGAATTAAATTTTTGAGAAAAACGATGACCAATAATATTTTTGGCCGTTATGCTCCTTTTGTGCAAGCCTCCATCCATGCTGTGGCAAAAACTATAAAATCAGTTAAAATCCACATAACAGCTTACATATGATAAAGTATAGTCTAGTACATTATCCAAGAGGAATCTGGTAAGAATACATCAGAGTTTTATTGTTAGCCAGTATTTTCAAAATAAACAAAATGCTACTTTGAGGTATCAGGTGATTTTCTCAATAACACTCAGGTGTTATTGACTTGAGGGAGTTGAATTCCCATTTCTTTTTAAAATTTTATTGAGAGATAACATACGGGCTGTCATGTTATCCTCAGAAGAGAGGTGGAGGGGCTGGGGATTTAGCTCAGCGGCATAAGCACCTGCTTTGTAAGCAGGCAGTCGTGAGTTCGATCCCCGGTACCGATAAAAAAAGAAAAAGACAAAAAAAAAAAAAAAAAAAAAAAAAAAAAAAAAAAAAAAAAAAAAGAAGAGAGGTGGAAACCAAGCTCGGTCCTGCTGATTGTCTGCCTCTGCAAAAGAGGTTGCAGCACGCGACAGGCAGCCTGCTAGATGGGTTATGGTTAATTCTCCATTCACCTCTCTTCTACATCAACTCTTTCCCTTTGTATCTTGGCTGCTAGGGAGTCCTGAATACATTTTAAATTTCTTCCTGACTGTGGTTATCACCTCGTTTCTTCATGCATTTTCTTTTTTCTTTTTTATTGATGTTTTAACTTTCCTGTGGGTATTTTGTCATTACATTGATATTTACACCTCCAACTGTTTCCAAAACTATATGCATACTTGCATCTTCGTGGGAAGCCTCCTTTAGTCTAGGAGGGAAGCTGGTAGGACATAAATCATAAGTCTACCCAGCTACTCAGAGCAATTGAGAGGCTTGCAATTCGAGAAAGACTTATTGGGCATTACAAAGCAAAGCCGAAGGTTTAAAGCACATTCACCTGCATAAAAACACAGATCCAAGTGAGCTTGACTTTGTAGCCATAACTTTATTTAGAGCTCACTTATTTTACTCAGTTTTTTTTATTTTCAGACCTAAATAAAATGACTCCTTTGTGGGGCCTCCGGTTACATCCAATAGGGCCACACTGAGACTGAGCTTCTGTTATACACAGAAAAAACATAAGAAAGTTCCACTTATAAAAATACTGAGATGATGCAAGAATAATTCACTTGACAAAGCCTAACTGAACTGTGTACAAATTGTCCATTGCTTTGGACTGATATATTTTTAGGTTTAGATGGGAAACATCTCACTGTGTTTTAAGATAACTATAGCTGTGCACATCAAGAATGACAGTAAAGATTTCTCTCTTCACACATAAATAGCAAAGATGCTGGGTTCCTTATATTGAAGTGAAGGTTTAAAAGGATCCTTGAATTTTCCAACTCTAGGGGTATATGTATTTGCATGTGTGTGTGTGTGTGTGTGTGTGTGTGTGTGTGTGTGCACATGCACATGTATGCAGTTGTGTGTGTATCTGTGATAGTTTTCAAAACTGCACTTGTACTGACTCTTGCCAGTGGGATAATCACTAGATAAATCTGCTTCATGAAAAGATCTTACAGAGCAGGGGTTCCCTAATATTCTGGTTCCCGGTAGAGGGGCTCTTTGTTTATTCATTTCCCTCTACTCTACTGCAGTACTACTGCAAATGAGGAGTTAAATGTCATCGTATGCTCATATTTCCTTAATTTTTTATTAATTTAACACAAATTGTGGTTGAATGTTCATCTCTTGACAACATTCTTAAGGTTATACTATAATGTACCATCTACACTGTGACACTGTAACACTTCTGAAAGCAGTATTATTAACACTCAGTCCCTATAAGTCTTGGCTACTTTTCTTTCATTGCTGAGATAAAATACCTGATCCCAAAAAGAAGGAAGGAAAGGTGTATTTAGCTTACAGTTTGTGGAGGTTTCAGTCCATAATTAGCTGGCTAGAAGGCAGAATGACATGGCATTGGGGCAACACTTCATGGCAGCAGCAAAAGCAATGGAGGGGAAGGAAAGAGTAAGATACTTTTCCCACCCGGCATATTGAACACAAGCCTCCCAAGAGCAGAGTGTAGCACTCATAAAATCTCTGTGCCCTCCTCTTGCACAGGATGAAGATATTTACAAAGTAAGGATCCTGGCTCCCTGCTGAGGCTCTCAGTTAAATGTCTAAACTTCTCAAGTTGACACAATATATCAATCATTACACTGTGTTTTGGGTAAGGTGGTTTAGTCACTCTCTTCAGGGTCACACTGACATAAAAGGGAAGAGGTGAAGCCTGTTTACCTTGGATAAATGTCTCCACATTGTGAAGTTGAGTTCTTTGAGTTGCACCATGGGAATAAGATATTCAGCTATTTAGAATCTCAGAATCCACTTTTCCATGTAAGCATTTTCTCTTAAAAATTTGCTCACTAAAATGATTTTGGAAGCTCATGGGATCATTGGGAAAGTTAGGCAACTAGCACCAATGACATTTCCCTGATCTAAGTGAACAAAACCAAAGCTGAGTCCCAGGTGTCACTTGGTGAAGAAACAGCTCCTCCCTAACACGACTGTTTTCAGTGCTGTTCCCAGGAACGGGCAGTCTAAATAAGAAACTTCCTCTTTCATTGTTGCTCCAAACTGAATTACAGTCTATGTGGCTTTTGGTCACTGGGTCACCTGCTCATGTTTGAGTTGGAAAAGCAACAAGGAAGAGACTGGATGACTGTTTCTTTCACGAAAAAGGTCTCCCGTTAATGCAAAGATGTTTGTAATTGTTGTGGGGTGGACAGGAAATGAAGAAAATATTCATAAGATAGAATAAGGATGTGTGCGTGATCTGTGGCACAGAGTTACTCTCGTGATCCAGTTAAGCAATGGGAAAGTCCACCATAAGTGTTAAAATGCGTGATTCATCGCTATTCTGTTTTGGCATAACCTCGGTTGTATGTAATCCTTTATAGATCACCTACCATTATTGCATTATTAGTTCAGGGACGACAAACACAGCTAATAAAATATTCCAACTACTAATTTAATAGTGTGACACACAGAGAGCTTCAGAAAATGTTCATTAAATAGATACAGATGGCTAAATAAGAATGTTCTTCCAACTTCCCACAGGGAAGGAAAGGGGTCACCTTCATTGTGAGATGTGACTATTTTATGGATTAAGCATTAGATCAGATTCAGGAATGATGTTTGCACACCCAGAAAACCAGTGCTCGTAGAGGTTGCTCCTACCCCCATATATTTCCATGCTCATGTGGGCAGTTTAGTGCCCACTCCCAGAATGATTTGGGCCACTTCTTAAAATGTGCATGTTAAGAGTCGGAAGCATCATGCCACTCGATGAGTAAGGATTATGCCTGGTTGTTACAACCTCCACTTTCTTTGTGCACTTCTACTAATTCTGCATGCTCTGACTCTAAGGGAAAAGCACATAAACTATGACCCTGTCATTTGGGGTCCATGTGACATGGCCACCTGGTGTCCTCTCCTATGGCCCTCTTTGAAGATAAAGGCACAAAATGAAGATTAACGCAGGCTCAGTCCTTGGATCCTGTAAGTGATCTGAATTTATATCCTTTGTGGGAAATTGAATTAACATTTTCAGCTCTTCTTTCCCCCTGAGAAAACAAAGAGTTTAGGTGACTTGTTCTGCTTTATCCTGCTGCTAAGAGCTAAGCCAGAGCACAGTGTGTGTCCTCCAAATGTCGTTAGAAGATGTGAACCAGGGTAGCATCTGTTCTGTTCATGCTATTGGGTAAATCCACATTTCTGAATGTGAGGTTAGAGACCCAGCAGTCAGATATTAGTTCAAGTAAGGACAGGTACCCAAATTGCTCATGAAACTGAAGTAATTTGTGGTCTGTGGTACATTGGCAGAGAAAGTCCCCAAGTTATTACAGTTCTCTTTAAGAATGCCGAGTATCATTTTCTTGTGACAACACCCTTAAACAAGATGAATGGAGGAAACTTGTCCTAATTATGGGTGTTGTGTTGCTAAGGTTCCCAGGATTGAGGTTTTAGGACCATCCATAAGTAATTTCTGGTAGAGAAAAATCACTTTTAGACTAAGAAAATACCTTGAAAGCCTTTCTACTAAAAGTCTCATCTTTGAATTTGTCTCTAGGTGCCTATGTGGTTAGGAAAGGGGCCAAAGAATGAGAGGCAAGCGTGAAGCGAGTGAGGCGAGTGTGCACCCACAAGCAAAGAACCTCCAGGGTCCATGCGAAAATGTCCTTTAAACTAAGGGAAGGTGAGTGTTAAGCAGTCCTAGAGAGAAGACGCAAAGACTGGTCCTTGGACTAGTGGCAGAATTAGGTAGTTACCCAAGATGCACAGTGCACCCACCTCTGATCCACAAGTGATCCACCATTTCTTTCTCCCCAAGAAGAGACTTTTCAAGCAGAAAAAAGTTCTGATATCCTTTTCCATTTTAATTAAGTAGGGCCCATCCTGAAACTGAGATTCAACAAATCTTATTTTCTTTCAGCTCACACTGGCTCTGAGTTTGTGTGCCTGTGCTTACAAGTGTATATATCAGCAGCTGCATTTGGAATGAAGACAGGAAACACAAAAAAGAAAGCCCTGGAGACAAAAGTACTTGCAATCGAGGTTCAAGATAGATGTAAGATGTGGCTACTTTGGTACCATTAAAGTGTTATCTTTGCTACGTTACAAACAGTCACACGGGAATTCAGCCACTTATTGCTTATTTTCCTAATTAGTGATCTCAATTAGTGGAGTTCCATTTCCCCAGTTTAAGTGCTGTGCTGTGTTGGAGGTTTCCCTGAGCCTGGCCATCCTGTAGCATAAGGAGCCCCACTAGCAGTTGGCATGGAGAGGCATAAAGGGAGTTGGAGACACCAACTGTGTTCTACTTGGGAAGCTGATGGGCTCCCAGGCTCACTGCAAAACCAACAAAGCTGTTCTACCTTGGTCTGTTTCTTAGGATCCCTAGCTAAGGGGAAGGTGAGGAAAGAGAAACACCAGAACTGGAGAGTGCACTAACGCCACAATTGACTAGGTAATATTTAAAGCAATATTTAGGACAACAGGCTAGCGATGGACCCATACTGGTCCTCTACTTTGTAACTAACACTTTATTAGAACTATAGCCAGGAGAACAGTTTGAAGCCAGTCTGGACCACATAGAGAGTTCAGGGCCAGCCGGAACTAAAATACAACACCCTGTATCAAAAAGACAAGCACACAACAATCAAAACAAAATAAAATGTTGCTTTAATACCCTTTGGATTAATACTCTGAGTTCTTTAGAGGGCTCCGTTTGTTCTACACTAATCATGATTTCTGATATTTGGGTCCTAGATTAAATTCTGAACAGAATATATGCTCAAAAGCTGAGATCACATCTCTAGAATGTGCATATTGACAAAGCACTTAGAAACCAAGGCATGGCTAGAGGGAAGAGGTAGGAAAGGGTTCAACAGGGAAGGGAGAGAGCATTTTTTTCAAATACTGTCAGAATTCCACCTTTCTCACAAGTCATTTATGATGTTTTTGTTCTGGCTAAGGGTATGGCTAAATATTTAACCTGGTCTTCGCCACTTAATAGACTTTTAGAGTTGTACTCTTAATTATTATACTTTTAGGATCTCGATGTGTTAAGTAAGCACAATAAAATACCCATTTCATAGGTTCATATTGTGGCTATCAAATGACATTAGATGCATATAAAGTTGTGAAGCTCAGTTTCTGGTATACACAAGGGGCTATATAAATACTAGCAGTTAATTTCCTTGTATTTGATGCTATCATTGCATTATTTACTAAGTGACTTCTCTATTACATTACATAGTGTACTATTAATGTATTACATGAATAGTAATAGGTATTCAATGTCAAATTATATTACCCATGTTACAAGTTACATACAACATGTTGTATATGTAAATCATATATTTTATTGTCTGCATTTCCTGAAAAACTATTTTGTCCTTTGGAAAAAGAGTTTACACAGTATGCCACTCTCATAGCTTGGGTTTTGCTTGCATTCATTTAATTTGTCTTTTATATTGTTTTGATATACTTAATGCTACAGTATACGAAGTTGTACTCAAGGATTTCAAGGAAAGAGACAATACGGTAACTACTTTTAGGTCAGGATTATCTGGTGGTGAAACACTATTCTGCTTAAATGGTTATGTTTTGATCTGCACTGTTTCGTTGTTATGCCCTCTTTTATCTCAATCTCCACTCCATTATTTACTTTTTAATTTTTATCCTTTTAATTAAAGAAAAAAAATAGCAGGATATATTATAGTAACCCACTTTGACTTTCCATTACCTCGACTTAAAGCCCTGTATTACTCTCACCATCTGGTTTTTAACTGATGTTCCCCTATTCTGTTTTGCTGGATAGTATCAGGTTCGAAAGTTTAGGCATCAGCTGTGAAGATAATGAGATTCATTATAACGCCTATTCTCGTTGACTTTTATCTACTTTTGAAGACCTACAATATCTTCAATGTTTTGGTTTTGTCGGTTTTATTCTTTACTGTTTTGTTCAATTGTATTATAACTAACGATATAGGCAATTCTATTAGAGATAGCGGGAGGCATTATGGTAACCATTGTTGATCACCTTGTATTATGTTTTCACATTATCTATTATGTCCACCCTTTTGACTTGACCGATTCTGTTCTGCTATGTCACATTTGGTTTTACTCTCTTCCAAAAAAGTAATAAGAACCATGGGAGCAATGAAACCCAAAATGTGTAATAGTCATTGTACAAAAGAGAGGAAAAGAAAGTGCTCTAAACTATATAACTGCATGTATATTTAAGCGTATAAGATAGAAAATGATATCACGGAGTTTTATTGGATCATTGAACAGATCTGTTTGCAGTATCATTGATGGAATGTCCACTTTACAAGCTTTAATTTTGTGACTTGAACAATTATTTCTAAGATGACAATATGTAATCCATTAACTAGTGATTTCCTACTGTTCATTTTTTTCTGTAAATCTGTATAACTTGTACCCTTTCTCTGTTTTTTTTTCTTTTCTCCTTAAATAAAATTTAAAAAAAAATTTGTCTTTTATTCAGTTGGTAACATGTTTTCAAAAGAAGTGGTAGTTGTCTTGCTTCCTCCATATTTGTCCCCCTTTTTTTATTTTCACAGTGATCTTGTGAGATATAACCTATTATCTACATTTGCGCCTTGAAGAAAGAGGCATTCAGAGAATGTATGTGATTATCCAAGAAAACTTTCATTTGGATGTAATCTCAATCTAGGCACCATTATTCAGGCTTGTAACCTCAGCAGTTGAGGCTGAGGTGGGTGAAGTCTCACCCAGACTCTCTCTCAAGCAATGAAACAAAAATCTTAAATGCAATCTAACATATCAATCCAGTTGCATTCAACAGTTTGTTTTGTTTTCATCTTTTGCTAGATCACACTGCCTTTCAGGAGTAAATATACTGAATATATCCATTATGGCTCAATAAGTGATCCTTTCACTGGCTTGAGACTGCTTATTGTTACTTTTTCTGAGAAGTCGTTTACTTGTATCTCAGAACCATAGTGGATGTTGCTGTACCATCAGCTACTCTTTTGGGACTTCAGCACTTACTGGACACTGTGAAGTCACTCACACAGGTGGTAACTACACATTGACCTTCCTGAGATTACACAGTGTGCTTTATCTACCTCTGTGCCTTGGAGATGCTCACTTAACATACACTGAATGAAAGAGTTTGCCTGTGTGTACACTTATTTGATAAGAGTGGCAATCCAATCTTCCAGACACAGCCTGAGAATTTACACTGCTTTTCCCATAACGACTTCATCTCTTGATTATTAATGACATTCTTTTCAATTTACTCTATGGTTTATCTTGCAAGGCAAAAAATCACCTAAAAAGCATGAAAGAGCATATTAAACATAGTATGCTTCTTCCAAATTTTATAAATAACTGCTTTTGGGATAGTAATAAAATGTCTGATATCGTATTACTCTGAATTTGACATTGCTTGGGAAGTTCAACTTGACTTCTAGAAAGTCTTGCATTCTGTAGATATTTAATAGCTCTTTCTAGATAGATGGCAAGACCCATGGAAGGCTTTTGGGCTACATAGATGAATACATCACAGCCCCTTCTGAAGGTCACTCACTAGGCAAGAGAGGCAGGAGAGGGACCAGTGACTTCTCAGTATAGTTCCTTGGACACATTTTTGGGAAAACTGAACGAGTGAGGTAAGGTCAGTTCCATCACTATTTTTTGCCATAGTATTCTTCATTGTAATTATGATTGGTGTTATTGGACAAAACTATGAAAAAGTCAGTTTACAAAATGTACTGTATAAGAAAGCACGATTCTTGTGGAAGAAATAAGTTTAGTACAGTGAAACAGAACTCCTTGATACTCTAAGCACAATGCAGTTGGAAATGAACTCAGAAGGCAGCTCAGAGGTGCATGGGGCTGTGAAAGTTCTATATTGGGCATGCACTTGCATCCTGAGTGAAGTCATTCTCCATTGAACAAACGCACTTTTTGAAAAATGAACTTGCGTTGATGAGCTTGTCTGTGGCTTTTCCCTGGGAGAAATCTGATTTAAACAAATTAAATTTCTTCTGCTTTTTAAATTGAACAAGCCAGATCCTCAGACCTATCTCCCTCACTCACATGCTGGAGTGAGTCTAAGACCAAACTATAATTGGTAATTAATAACTTCAGATTCTATTATGGAAGTCTCGTTACAAATTCCATCTGCACAGGAGCTTCACAAGAAAAGTACGTGCTTGGGTTTTGTGGTGAGCAAAATCCCTCTCCGTGCAACTAAGAAGGTCAGAATGACATTGAGACAGGAGACTTTGCCCCCTGGTGACCTGCCTTGGGGCCATCACTGGACATCTGTGCCCCTGCTTGTGCCCACCGTGGCAGAGGCAGGTGAGAAGTCAGGTCCTTCTGCAACCACGTAAACTAACAAGGTGAGTCTCATACAGAAAACTCAGGTTTCTTCCGTTCAAAGTCTTCTAAAGAGTGCTTTTCTTGTACCTATGAAGTCCTCTTATTTCTATACATAAATCAGGGCTTTGAATTGCAACCTCTGAATCCTGCAGCTTCTGAACACTGCTTGACTTGGACAAGACCTAGGGAATCTCAGGAAAAGTGAAGCTGAATATGGTCACAGGTGACACAGAAGCAGTCATGGCACCAGGAATGGTCTTTCTGCACAAATTTCATTTCCCTTGGTTGTCATGTAGTTGGTGGTGGCACACTCATCACAAGGCAGAGGGTCTTCCAATGGTAGTCACACACAATGTGGTCCTGCTGGGCCCACTGTAATCCAGTGGTGAGGTTTCTTCTCATCTTTGCCTAGGGTGAAGGTGAAGTTGTCCATTGAGTCCTGCAGGCAGGATCAGAATAAAATGGGGCACTTGAGTCTAGTACCCAGGTTTTGAACTATCATTGCTTGGATTTCTAGTGCTTAACCACAGTGAGACATCTCTCTAAAACAAGGTTTAGTTTCCTGATCATAGACTAGAAGGATCATGGTCCATTCACTTTCTTATGACACTCATGGGAAAGAGGGATTCCCAGTTTATTCCCTGTGGAGATTTATTCAAACC